TTGGGTATCCTTCGAGATAGTGACGCCAATCGTCCAGCGCCTCAATGATCGCGAGCATCTCCTTATCATAGATCTCATAATTCCGCTGTGCCGGATCCATCGCATGGGATCTGAAGGCGATGGGATGCCACTTGCCGTCATCCTGCTTCTGCATTAACACACCGCCAGTGGCGTAGCCCGAGGCGTCAACCTCAATGCGCGTTTCTTGGTTAGGATCATACAGTGCTAGGACGGGAGTTGTCGCGAAGAGCCGCTTGAGCTCGTCAAAGGCGTGCTGTTCCTCTTCACCCCAGTGCCATGGGTCGTTCCCTGTGAGCCGGTCGAGTGGTCGCGAGATCTTGGCGAAGTCCTTAATGAAGCGGCGGTAGAAGTTGGAGAACCCCCGGAACTTCTGAACATCCTTCTTGTTCCGAGGTACCGGCCACTCATTGATTCCTTTTGGCTTCGCAGGATCCATCGCTACCTCATCGCCACCGAACACATAGCCAATGTAGTCGACCTTGGGAACGTCCCACTCGCACTTCTCAGGCTTCAGGAACAGGTCGTTGTCCTGAAGGCGGCGTAGAACCTCGCGTGTGACCTTCTCATGCTCCTCCTTGTTGGTAGAGAAGATGAGTATGTCATCCAGGTACACGAGGATCTTGCCACCGATGATGAGATCATGGAAGATCTCGTTCATCATTGCCTGGAAGGTCGCAGGGGAGTTGGTGAGGCCAATGAACATCACTAGGGGTTCGTACAACCCTCAGTTAGTCACAAAGGCCGCCTTCCATTCGTCACCGGCTTTGATCTGGACGTTGTTGTATCCCCATCAGACATCGAACTTCGTGAAGAGTGTAGCACCGCGGAGTTTATCCACCATTTCGGTGATCAATGGCAAGGGGTAACGATTTTTGACCATGATCGCGTTCAACCGGCGGTAGTCCTGCACGGGTCGAAGTGTCCCTTCTTTCTTTTTGATGAAGAAGAAAGGGGACAAGATGGGCGACTTTGATTCCCGTATATAGCCCTTTGCCAGTTGCTCCTTGAGGAACTTGTCAAGCTCCTCCTGCTCATTGTTCGACAGGGGATACACCTTCGAGTGGAACATCGAGTAGCCGGGCATGAGTTCGATCACGTGATCATAAGGCTTTCTTTTGGGTAGCCATTCTGATGCTTCCTTGAAGAAGACATTCAGGAACTCGTGGTACTGTTTAGGTACCAACTCCTTGGCGGTCTTTACAACCTTCTTTTTGATCTTCTCCTCAGCGAACAGCTGGGAGTACGTATGCCTGGCTGCGACGAACAGCTGAGGGGCGCTGGGAAGCATGGTACCTTGCTCCCAGGCTTCGATCAAATCGGCCTCATCCCACTCTACTTCCACCGGATCTTCTTCAGGTTCGAAGTCTGGGAGCACCTTGCTCCGGCAGGTGCCTATGACCGACCGTTTGGACTTCGGCGAACGCCTGCGCACCGTGGGCCTGACCCCCATATCACACGTAGTCGCAGCTTGCTCCATTTGGTCAGTCCTCCTGGCACTGCACGCTTCAGGGCATCGTGATAATTTGAGGGAACCATTCTCCCAATCAATGTCAGGGTTGTGCTCGCGTAGCCAATCCAACCCGACGATCACATCTTCTGGACTGATGTCCGTGACCGTGAACACCGTTTTTTCGACGTGCTCTCCTATATGCATCTGTAGCACTGCTACCTCCAAGATGCTTCCGTCCTTGTTCAGGGTACCGTCAATATTGTATAGCGGAATTGGTTCCTTTAACTTCCGTGTTTGCACCTTATTCTCGATAATGAATCGCTTGTTGATGAACTTCGTGGTGGCTCCGCTGTCCACCATAGCGATTATGTCTTTGTGCCGTCTTTTTCCTTGAAGTCGAACTGGGATGTGAAAATGTTGGGACCCCTGGTCCAATTCGTACACCATCGCAGTTGACAATACGTTATACTTATTACATGATGAGACTCGCGGCCCGACGCGTGCGGCACGAAGCGTGGACCGGATCAAAAACCCTCCTCCTTCATCGCCCGATAATGCTCGAGCTCCTCGCGCATCGACTTCACCTGTGCCATTAAGTCCGCCAGCTCCGATTGCTCGGATTTCGCTGAAGTGGCACTTATACTTGCCGAGGGTGTTGTCGTGACGGGGGCGCTTGTCGCAGCCTGGGTGGAGCCCGAGGCAACCATAGCCCGCGCATCAGCGTGTTTTGTGTAAGGCTTGTCCTTACAATTGGGGCACTCGAAGTGTCGGTACCCTTGCTTCCCACAGCCGAAACAACTGCTGGGGAAGTTTCCTTTTCCGATGGCCGCATTGATGCTGGCTGAAGCTGCGTGCAACTGGGGTGCACCACTACGTGCCCCTCCGCGTCCTCGACCTCATGCCAAGAAGAAGTTGTTTAGCTCGGGCCGACAGGCCCGGCTGATGTCGAGGATCTGCTCGACCTCCGTGGCGTGCTTGTCAGCGTCTTTCCGCGTAGTGAACGTCTCGAGCTCGATTTTGTGGTACACGCGGGAGGGGATGCCGCTCAAGTACTTGTCGTGTAGCTCCAGGTCGCCGTACCCGGAGCGGTCCGCCGGACCTTTGAACAGCGCGGAGAACTCCGCAGCGGTGCGTTTTTCACGGACCGACTTGTCTGCGCAGAGCTTCGCCAGCTCTACTTGTGCTGCTGCCTCATCGTCGAGATTTCCGAAGCAGGCCCGGAAGGCGGCGGCAAAGGCCGCTTCGTTTGCGAATGGGGTCGTGGCCCCTTGCACTCCTATCTGCACCGACACGAGCTGGGCGAAGTAGGGAGTGGCCCAGGCGCGGGCGTCTCCATCGAGCAGGCTAAGTGCAACCTGCACCTTGAGTTTGATGGTGGTCAACGACGTGTTGATCAACCAGTAGATGAGCAACTGTAAGATGAAGCGGTTGCATTCAATCACCGACTTCCCGTCATATCGGAGTGGGAGGAGGAGCTTCAACGTCTCCTTATCAGGGACGGCAGCGGGAGAGGACATTATTGGCGACGAGGGGGATGAAGGACTGCCTGCAGACAAAGGCGACTATTGTGACTGTCCACTGGGCAAACTTCACGAGGAACGAGTGCTCGAGCGGCCTCGCGGCGGCGACGGCAGTGAAGACGATTGAGGAAGCCCGGAGGCGGGGTGACGTAGGACAGGGACTGGAGTTGAGGAGGGGACTGCGGACGACGAGCTGGCCCAAGAATGCGGCGGAGTGTCGTGGGGCTCGGTCTTGGGAGGCCTTTCCAGCCACGGCCCCAGGGAGGGCTGGGGGATCGCTTGAGGGGTCGCTGAAGGCTGTGCGACTGCCTCAGTTCTTCTAGGGAGATCGGGGTCTCCTCGCGCTTGACCTGTACTGGCGACAGGTTGGGGGATGCGGGTGCCTGGCGAGGCAGGTCGGGATGGGACAGGAGTGACGTGGCGAGATGTAGACCTCAAGGTGCCAGCGTATCGGAGTGCAGGGCCGCTGGGGTGTTGGACTCGTCGGATTGGCACGTAGCGCCCTTCGTCGGCAGTGATGGACCATGGAGTACAATTAGGGCATGGTTGCTGATCACAAATGAAGAAAGGGGCTAGGTTTTCGTTGCTTTCTGGATCGTCGCGAGAGACGTCGACCTGCTCCTGGGTGTTGAAGGCGTGCTCAAGTCGAGAGCAGTCGAAGAATTCGTCAGCCACGGTGATGGGGGGAGGAAGGGGAGGTGCGCGTGCTACAAAAGGCCGTATAAGCTAGCTTACACCTATGGCGCCCGAGGTAACACTAGGGTTCGCAATTCACATGGGGCCCAGTACTACTTTTGGCTAGTATGCAGCAGGAACCTAGTCCACGCGTCCGTGAGGACAAGTACCGCCCACTGAAGTGCAGGTACTGAAGAGTTCGTTCCCTAAGTGGTGGCGATGTATGTACGCTATCTACGTATCGTAATGTACCGTAGGGGTGCGCACCACCCGCCCTGTGGGAAAGGAAAGTGAATATAAGGCGTCCCGAGAGGACGCCGGCAGCTTGGGGAGTTTCGACCTAATGTCGCGACTTGAGGTCAAGCGACTGAGGAAAACCTAAAAGCTGGGGGCGTCCGACTGATTTTTACTGAAGCGATGGCGAGCGATGCTCAAACCTAAGGCTAGGGACAAGTAAATGTATTAGTTAGTAAGGTAAGAAAGGAATACAAAGGAGGGCTTACTGACCTAGGGACAAGAGGTCGAAACTGAGATCCCTAGGGCAGCAGAGGCCGGCTTATATACATGGGGAGATAAGGGCAGGCTGTGCGCACTGGTCCATGCGCAGCTGGTCCGTGCGCAGTATGCTGACACGGCCCCAGGGGCCGGTGAGTCAGAGAGGCTGTGTCAGCGGAGCCCAAGCTGTGCCGTGCACTGCCGCTCATCTAATCTAATCGTACAGTAGATATGATGCATTCATATCGGGTATGTAGTACAGAGGTCGCGGGTTCAAGCCCGCGAAAAGGAAAAATAAAAAATGGCTAGACGCCGTACCAAGTCGTGACAATGAGTGGCCGGTACCCTGGAACAAAAAAGATGTTCAGAAGTTCCGGGGGTTCTCCAACTTTTACCGCCGCTTCATTAAGGACTTCGCTAAGATCTTGTGCCCACTCGACCGGCTCACAGGGAACGATCCATGGCGCTGGGGCAAAGAAGAGCAGCACGCCTTTGATGAGCTCAAACGGCTCTTTGCGACGACTCCAGTCTTAGCGCTGTACAATTCTAATCGAGAAACACGCATTGAGGTTGACGCCTCGGGCTACATCACTGGCGGCGTGTTGATGCAGAAGCAGGATGATGGCAAATGGCACCCCATTGCCTACCCATCTCATGCTATGGACCCAGCCTAGCGTAACTACGAGATCTACGATAAGGAGATGCTTGCCATCATTGAGGCGCTAGACAATTGGCACCACTATCTCGAGGGGTTACCCAATCAGTTCT